GGGAGGAAGGCACACCGGAGGAGAGGCCTGAGCAGGACCAGGCTTTGGCAGGCTCGGTGGATGGCGGGCAAGCAGCGTGGCTGGCACACGCAGAACCAGCAGGAAGGGAGAGGCGAGTGGTCAGGAGGCTGGGAGGGACCAGAGTGCACCAGGCCCCCAGCTGCCATGGGAGCCACGGGAGGGCTTGGGCCGAGGGGAGACAGCTGGCTGCCGGTGGGGGAAGGGGGCCAAGGTTACTCCGGAGGCTGCCTTGTGGCCAGGTGAAACGCGCCGGGGCCTTGGCCCAGGGTGGTAGCTGCGGAGGGAGGTGTGGGCGCGTGCCCGATGATTTGGGAGCTCCCGGGACTTGGTGGTGGGTGGATGTGGAGGGGCAGGGAAGAGGGGACAGACAACTGTGGGCTTTGGCCCTGAGTACTTGGGGGCTGATGATTCCAGTCCCCGCGATGAGGAAGGCTGTGGGAACTGAGGAGGGAATAAAGTCTGGCAGGTCAGACATGAGGCCACCATGGAGAGCCTCACCTGGCTCTTTGGCTTCCTCCAGCAGGAACCTTTGGCTTCTCTTTGCACTGTTCCAGAGGCTCCAGATGGCCCAGGAAGCCTCCTCCTCTGGCTACTGCCCCCCCGCCCCCCCCAGCTCCGCAGAGGGAGCCTTTTGCCCACCCTGGCAGTAGGACGTTGGGAGGCCCACGGGCAGGAACTCTGCAGAGGTGGAGGGTCGGTGTCCTGACAGCACTCATGGCTTCTCAGGGGCTTTGCAGCCTCCCCGAGGTTATTGTTAAATAACGCTGGAAAGGCCACTGTTTGAGCCGTGCAGAGGCCTTGGTGGCCGGGGCACCATCAGCCTGCTTTAAGGCTGAGTCCATTTTCAAAGGCTGCTAGACTTCCAGGCAAAAGCAAATCAATATCTCTTGACTGCTCTGAGGAAGAGAGCTGGAACTAGGAGCCCCACTTTACAGATGTGTAAACTGAGGCCCTGACAGGTTAGGTGGCTTGGTTCGAGTACCCAGAGACTAAAAGTCTAGGGCAGCCCAACTCCAGGCCCTTTCCTGCTTGTTGCAGCACATCTCATCTCCCGGAAGCCCTTCTGCCTTCAAGCCTCCCTGCTTCCCAGCCCCTGACCCACCTCCACCCCCCTCGAAGCTCCGCTGCTAAGCTTTCTCTGAGAACAGGAAGGGGTTGTTCCATGCCTTCTCCATCTAACTCCTGCCCCAGCTCTCCCCGGGCTGCTCAGGCTGGGAGCCCAGCACCAAAGGCGGGAGCCAGCCACCACTCTTTGGGGAGCACGGTCCTTGCTTGCTCGCTGGAGTTCTGCTTTGCTTCACACCCTTGTCCCAACACTATATCAACAAGAGAGGTCTACTCAGAACAGCCAGAATCAGAGCTCACGGCTCCGTTTGCAGATGGCCCAGGCCACCATCACCTCCTGCTCAGACAATTGCAGTAGTCTCCTTACTGGTCTCTCTACTACTCCGTCCTACCATAGCTTCCCACCACACTGAGCCTCACGTGACATGGCACACCTGCCTCTTCAACCTCAATTCCCACACCCTCCCATCCCCTCCTAATGCCACCTCGTCTTTTGGTTCATCTCACATACACTAGGCTCACTCCCAATCTGGGGCACCAGCTGTTCCTGCTGTGGATCTGGCTCTCGCCTGCTCATACAGCTGGCCCCTACCTCTTGTTCAGATCTCAGATTTAATGATAAATCATTATCCCATCACTGAAGTCATGCATCACACTAAAAGTTTCCTTCTTTCTCTGTCTGCCTTGCATCACAGAATCATCAGTACCAAGCAAATGATAGGTGTTCGATATTTGCTGACTGAATTAAGGAATGAATGAATGATATCTGACACCGTGTGAACGGAGCAGAAGGTGCCTGCCCTCACGGAGCCTGGTGTTTATCCAAGTTCACACACATTGTCTCGTTCCAGGGCTGCTCATGAACCACAGACCACACATCAGTAGCCTGTGGGTCAAATCTGACCCTCAGTGGTATTTTGTCTGACTCGTTACACATTTAAATAAAAAAAAAATTTGGTGGGGGGGCGCCTGGGTGGCTCAGTTGTTAAGTGTCTGCCTTCGGCTCAGGTCACGATGCCAGGGTCCTGGGATCGAGCCCCGCGTCAGGCTCCCTGCTCAGCAGGAAGCCCGCTTCTCCCTCTCCCACTCCCCCGGCTTATGTTCCCTCTCGTTGTGTCTCTGTCAAATAAATAAAAATCTTAAAAGAAATTTTTTTGAGTGAACTTTTAAAAATTGGTAGATTTCACATACAAATCTGGGTTTTTGGCTTCTTTTCAAAAATGGACAGACGTGGCCACATTGGGTTTCTATGCTCAGATGACATGATTGTTACTGCCCTTTTAGATAGGCACATTCTGCACCGTCCCCACCACTCCTCTCTTTCCCTGACAACCCATGTCAGTTGCCTTTTATCACTGAACCTGCCCTATTGCTTTCCTTATAATAAATTTGCTCTGTGTCCATGCCTCTACCCAGAGTTGGAACATGAAAGGCTGAATGGGTCACATGAGTCAAGAAAAAGAGAGATTCATTCATGCAACAAATATTTATCGATAATCCACTATGTGCCAGGTACAGCTGTAGATACTAGAGACATAGGAGGGGACAGCGTGGGTGACTATCCCCTTCCTCTGGACACTGTGTAACATTCTTACTACAAGTGGAGATGTGTGAGTTGTTCCTTATTAACCCCCCCACCCATGAGAAAGCCTGTGCTTCTTGTGTCCAAGGTCATCTGTGAAGACTTAGTTTCCACTAAGCACCTACTGTGTAACAAGCCCCTGGCAGCGTCTGGCACAGCAGAAACGCTCAATAAATATCTGTTGAATTAATTAACTAAATTTACCTCCTAGACAGACTGTGTTGGTCAATGTTGTTTCTCCAGGATTTATTCAAAAGGTAAGTGCATAGTAGGTGCTCACTTCATGCCAGTTGAACCAAAGGGTGCAAATAAAAAGGGAGGGCTGACAAACTACGTTTGGGTGCAAGAAGGCAGAGCCCTGGGAGAGGAAGGGGCAAACAGCTCTGAGCTGCCGGAACCCACAGTGACCCCAGGAGGTAGGTGACAGGATTCTCAGGTGATAGACTAGGAAACAGGCTGGAAAGGAAAGCCCCTTGGCCAAACTCATAGGCCCCAGGAGGGAGTGAGGGAGGAGGCCCATCTGCCCCTGAAGTGCACACTCCCCCCACCCACCTTCGGGGTGCTCCTGGACCACCTGTGGGGGGATGTAGAGGGCCTGCCCCGAAGCCCGCCACCAGCCTTCTGTTCCCCTTTGACTCCTGACTTTTGAATTGTGTGAATTCATTCATCAGACTCATTTCTTCTTAATCTGTTCCAGCAAACATTTAACACGTGGGAAAGGTGTATGTGTGGTAGAGATCCTGAAATGTTTATTTTATATGGGGGTAGAAGGAGAGCTAAAGAGAGGAAGGGGTCCCATTCCTGACCTCAGTAGGCCGGCTGGTAAGAGAAGCCCAGCTGCAGCCTGGCGCCAAAGTGTCACAGTAACTTGGAAGGCGACAAGCGCTCCGAGGGTGGGCCTCCCTTCAGCTAAATCTGGGGGCTGGGCAGAGCTTGTTGAATGGTTGGGGGGGGGGGGGGAGGGTGTGTGTCCCAGGCTGAACCTCAGCGGAGGGTGGCCTACGACGGGGGGGTGGTGGAGGGAAGCAGACAAGAGCCCTCTGCCTTGCAGTGGCCGCCACCAGGCAAAGTACGTTGGGCCTGACTTCTTCAGGGGGCCTCGGCCTCGGCCTTGCTGCACCTGAAATCTGGCCCTTTGGGCCCAGGATGAGGGTGTTTGCGGGAGCGTAAGCCCCAATGACTAAGGCGCTGAGGTCTAACGAATCTCAGTGGACTCGGAGGAGGTTTAAACGCCCCATCCTCCACGAAGCCTTCCACACTTCCCTGGCCAGAAAGCGGGCTCTGGGCAGAGTGATGAGCGATCTGCTCTCCGGCCGGCACTCTCCGCTTTGTACTGTGGCCGCGTCGTCCCCGCAGGCACGCCCACTGGCCTACGCGCTCCTGGGGCCTCGCGTGCCTACCCGCACGGAGCCGGAGCCCAGCAAATACCTCTGGGCTGAACCACGAATTGCTCAGCCAGGCCTTGGGGATCCGGGCCGCCTGGGCCCAGGCCCGGTTCAACAAGTGTGGGCGGGGCCGCCCGTTCCCGCCCGACGGCTTCGCGCCTCCCCAGGCGCCCGGGGCGCGCCGAGACGGGCCGGGCCCCGTTGGGCGAGTTTCATTTCATCACCCGCAGAGCGTGCGAGCGCGGGTGCACATAACGTTGCCCCCTCCCCTCCTCGACTCCCTCCGAAACTCCGAAGCTTCCGTTGGCGCACGCTAGCGCTCCCGCCTGGGAGGTCGCGGGCGGGGCGGCCGGCGGGGCAGCCGCCGGATGCTGGGTGCCCCACGCCGGCCCCCCCACCCCCGCCCGGCCACCCCGCCCAGGCCGCGAGGCCACCTCACCGGCAGCGGAATGGAAACCGGTTCGACAGGTAACAAATAGGTGGGTTGTCACCGTTATTTCCCAACGCATGCGCCGTCGCTCCCCGGGACGCTCCAAGCTAATTAGCTCAGATCACCCCCCCCACCCCGCCCCAGCCACCAACACACACCGCCGCGAGCCAATAAAGCGTGAACCCGTCCGTCCGGCTCGCACTTTAAGACTTCCCGAGCGGCCGCGGGGGACGCCAGTCGAGCCGGGAGACGCTTACCTGCCGCTTCCCCCCGCCGCCCGGTGCACCTGGCTGCAAGGGCCTCCGTTCGGAGGGAGGGCGGCGACGGCCCCGCGGAGTTGGAAACGGGCGCGCGCCGTCCCAGGCACGTTCTCCCCGCCGAACGTGGGGGCACTTGGGCGACTCGTTCCCTGAACTGCCCCCTCCCCTCCCCCGCCTCCGGCTCGGCCCGGGAACGGTGGGACGGCTCCCGGCTCTAGTCTCGGAAGCGGACGGTGCCGGGCGAGGAGGGTTCGAAAATGCCCCGCGCGTTTCTGGTGAAGAAGCCGTGCGTCTCCACGTGCAAGAGGAACTGGAGCGAGCTCCCCGACGAGGAGCGCGGAGAGATCTACGTGCCAGGTGAGGCCAAGTCCACGGCCGCGAGCCCTACTCCGCCTTCGAGCCTGCGGCGCCCGAGGGGCGGGGGGGGGGGCCCGTCCCGGCGGCTGGCGTGCGGAGCGCAGCGATGCGGAGTCCCGCGGCGGGCGCAGCCGGGGCGCCCGATTTAATGTTTAAGCGGCCGCGGCCCCGTTAGCCCGCGGCGCGGGGGGAGGGGAGGCCGAGGAGGCGGTGCCGGGTGGGGGCGGGGGCCGGCGGGAGGGGGCGAGAGCCGTTCCCAAGCCCGGCGGCTGGGCAGGGGGCAGGCGGGTCCGTGGCGTGCGGGCCCGCGCGGTGCCGCCCTCCCCTCCACTGGCCGGAGCCGCGGCGCAGGGGAGGCAACGGGGTGTGTCACCGCTCAGGCGACCCTCCACTCTCACGTCGTAAATCCAGAAAGCCGGGACTTTTATGAGGCGGGAGGAGGGCACCGGAGCGATGCCACCTGGGGGGGGGGGCGGCACAGGGAGTGAGCTGGAGCTTCGGCCTCAATTTGTGCAAAGTGTTAAGAGAAAACTCGTTTAAGCCGCCTTCATGGATCTGTCCGTCTTTCCCACACTCTGGTGGCCAGAAGGTCGTGGTGCGGGTCAGGCCGCCAGGGGTTCCCGACCAGCCGCCCCGCGGAGTGCGCGGAGACCGTGGGGAAGGTGCCCCGGCTGCACCCCGCTTGTCCCGAGGACCAAGGTGGGATCAGGTCTCACCGCTGTTAGAAACGCGCCTCCTTGCAGAGGACATGGTTGCAGAGGACATAGTTGAGTGGAAAGTGTTTTTCAGGAGCCCAGCCCACAGCCAGGGGACCAGGCCCCCGGGGCAGCTGGTGCACCCAGCTTGTTTTGGGAGGACGCCTTGACAGCGTCCGAATCAACGTTGAATGAATAACCCGAGTTATTTCACTCTCTAGTGGCATCTTCCTCTGGAAGCCCTGAGAACACTTTGGTGCCTTCTGTCCTCCACAACCCGAGAAAATCTTTAGTCAGGAGAAAGCCAGCTTCCTTCGGAACTCCCCCTCCCCACGACTTGGGGGTGGGGCGGGGGCTGCGCTGCACACCCTGCCCAGAGCCTCCAAGGGAGGTGGGGGGGGGGCAGAGGTTGTAATTAACCAACCGACTTTGACCCTTGATCTGCAGGTTCTCTGGCACCGCCCCAGGCCTTGTAGGAAAGTGGTGAAATGAGGGCAGTGAGGGGCCCTGTAAGGGCTCTTGCCTCAGTTTCTCTCCTGAATAAATTGGTGGAGACAGTGGGTGTAGTGGTGAGATCTGTGTGGCCTGACCTGCCAGGATCCAATGGCCTGTGACGCTGTTGGGATGTTTCACAGGTTATCTCAAGGCGCTGCTTCTACAGCTTCCTTAAAACAAGGGGAAACAGACCAAAAGGCAGGTGAGCTGCCAGCTCACCTGAGGTGGATTAGGGTGTGGGCCCAGGATTCTGTTTATAGTTTCCTGCGTGACCAAGTTCCCTGGCGGGTTGGCAGGTTGGTGTTTCATCTCCAGAAGGGTCAGGAGAGGAACGGAGCCCCTTCTTCACTCCTGCCTCCTCCCTCACCTGTGTTTGTCTTGCTGCTTAGCTGCTCCTTCGGATCTGATAAACTGAACTTGGACTGTGTTAAAGGTGAGCTGAGCCTTTTGAGACTCGGTGTGCTGTTATTTTTAGTTTTATTTCACATCCCAATCAGTAACAGATCATGTGTTGACTTTTACAAAGGACAAAGAAATTCCGTTTGTTCAAATCATTGACTTCCTTGCATCCTGGTGATTTCTCCCACCACAGTTCTGGTGGCCATTGTGGGAGTGGTGGGGGAGGCCTCCATCCCAGGGGCTGTCCCATCAGGTGACAGGCAAGGGCTTCTGGGTGCTCTGTGCCGCCTGCTGGTGCTGTCCAGGTGAGGGGAGCTGTGCAGACCTCTCACTCTATAGGATCGGCCAAGATGGTTGGGTCCGGGTCAAAACCTGGAGGGCACAGGTGAGAATTTGCCCTCATCATTCTGGGGAGGGAGAGTCCTGTTGGGATGAAGCAAAGGGTAGAAGGCAAAGCACTTAATTGAGCCTCTAAAAGCCATGTGGCCCACTGGAGAGTTTTCCCACAGGTTTTGGAAATGAGAAAGGGAATGTTCTCGGGCCATGCTTGGGTGCCTCAGATGGCTGGAGAGTGGGGAGTGTGTTTTGTGGTGGCTTGTCCCCTGGCTGAGCCATTCCATCACTAGCCGACCATGACCCCAGGAGCCGACTGGGCACGTTTCCTTCACCCCACCTCACAGACTCAGCACATTGTGACCAGCTAAGCATTGACCCCAGTCCCACCGGGAGAGGCCCTGGGGGAGCTGGGGAGCAGGGAAGCGTTTGAGGTCTGACCTTCCTGCCGGGGGCCCTCTGAGACCCTTAAGTCATCAGAGAGCCCCTGGAAAGAGACGCTTTTACTGACTGAAGGCTCACGGCGCCAGTCTGACCAGCACTCTAGCTTCTCTCCCTGAGGCACGATTCTAGAAGTTCCCACCCCCAGGGCAGAACCTTTTTCTGGCCTCATTCCCCTTCCAAAGCCAAGGGAAAAGCCCAGAGGTGGGCACAGGGGGCTGAAAGCTCACGGCGGAAAGGAGATTGCAGGCTACCTATTTGGGCCCAAGAGCCTGGTCTAAGCCCTTCACTCCCCGCCCCTCATCTCCCAGGGCATTTCTTCTTTGTTATATCAATATTAGTATGCAGGGAGTAATGCTGGCTTCTTGAGGAGGAACCTAAGCACCTGTACCCAAGGGCTAAATTCCATCTCTTGGGCTAAAGGGGAAGCCGGAGAAACAGGGATGAAGCCCCATACTCCAAGCGCTTGCTGAGTCACAATGAAAAGCCAGGAAGGTACTTGAGGGTAGATGAGCCTGCTAGCGGCCTGGAAGCCGAAATGACATGCTCCCAGATGTGGGCATCGCAGGGCCTCTTCCAGGCCCCCAGGCACCCCCTTTCTGGCATTGGGGCCTCTGCAATCTGTCCTCCCAGTTCACCAACATGCCCACCCCCGGGAGGCAGCCAGGCCGAGGTGTGTGGGACCGGAGTTGCTCAGCCCAGCTCTCGCTGGGCAGTGCAGGGGTCTGGGCCCCTCCGTGTCTAGGCCGAGGTGGACAGGCTTCTCAAGTCCGCTTTGCGCCCCAGAGTACATGTGTGTGGGTGGGAGGGAGAGGGCGCTGGGGGAGATCAGGCCCCCAGTGAGGGTCCTCCTCTAACTCCTGGGATGTGCTGGCAGGGAAGGACGTGTCTGCTGTGGATGGGGACAGGAAGGCAGCTTGGGCCTGCGCAGTGGCCTGGATGGGGCTCGGGCCTGTCCCGTGGGGCGCTGTCCCATAAGCTGCCAAGCCGTTTGCTCCAGGCTGCGGTGACCCAAGACACACTCCTGCCACACCATTTGTCCCAGAAAGAGAGCAGGTGAGGGCAAGTCCTCTGGGCACAGGGAAGACTAGAGCGAAGGGTGGCCACTGTTGATGTCCACTTTCAACAAGTTCACAGTCCCACGGGGTGCCCAGCCCTGTGCTGGCCGGAAAGAGGTGGGGAGGAGGCAAATGGAGGCACAGTCCACGGCTGGTCAGGGCTGCCCACCCTGGCGCGCGGGCTGAGGTGCCCGGTGTTGACTTCGTTATGGACACAGTACAAAAGGCAGTTGGGAAAGGGGAGAAAGATATTGCCTGCGAGAGAAACTTGGCATTCACAGAAGGGAAGCAATAGGCTGAGGAATGGGCCCGTTGTTTCCAGGGCTGCCCACCTCTGCCAGTTGGCTGACACTCGCCACCTTTCGGGCACTGCTAGCTGACCTGTGGGGGCTGGGGGAGATGGACACAGGGGACCCCTGCCTTTCCTGATGAGGGGGCAAGGCCACCTCACACCAGCGTGGGTCTTGCTGATACACTGTCACTCCCCATTCAGCGCTGAGTCACCCCCCCAACCCCCCCAGGTCAGCCCCCGCCCCCATGTGGTCAGAGGTTAGGCGTCCTCACGTGTGCCTCACCTGCTCGCCCTAGAGAGCGGCCCTGACCCGAGGCCCGGCGAGGGGTAGGACCTGGCCTTCTGTCCGGTATTTGGCCAGCTTGCAGTCTGCGAGACAGGGGACTTGCTGGGGGCCAGAAGGGGGGAGCCGGTCCTTGGGTGGAAAGCTGCCCATGACCTCGGCGTCATCCAGCAGAGGTGAGCTGGGCCAACCGCAGGGGAACCGGCGAAGGCCCGAGGGAGTAGGGAGAGGGCCGGCTGGTCTGGCCTTGCTGGGCTCCACAGCTGTGGGCGGGCGATGCGTAGCTGCAGCCACCGCCTTGCCGGAAACATCTAATTAGGGGACATAGAGCAGCAGAGGCAGGGCCCAACCAGTTCTGCTTCCTGCCTCCTGCCACCCTGTGACACCCAGTGCCACCCAGTGCCAGGAGCGGCACGCCGATGAGCATTCCGTGTGCGTGCAGCAGCAGCAGGGCCAGGCTCACGGGGGTGGCGGGAAGACAGGTTTGGCGGGGTGGATGGCATGAGGCAAACATCCCCACCCACAGGGTCCCCTGCCCCTGGCTTCCTCCCTGTCCTCTGCTCCTCAGCACCAGCTCGGCGCGGTTGCTGCGGAATGGGAGAGGCAGGCCCAGGAAGTTGGGGTCCCCCCCCATCTCCCCGGCTGGTGTGGATCCGCAGCGCCCCCACCCCGAACACCGCCACCCCCTCAGGGGTGCAAGGGAGCCAAGAGTGACAGCTCATTCGGAGCACAAACCAGTGAGCCCTCACCTGTTGTCACTCCTCCCTCAGCTGCTGCCTGCGCAGGCCGTGTGGCCGGGCTCCAGCTTCCAGGAGCTTCACTCACGCTATCCGATACGGAAAGACAGAAGAGGGAAGAGGTTTCCGTTCTGTTTGTCTCTACCTGGACTGAGAAATGGAAATTGTCATTCAGCTCTGAATTCTTGGCCAAGAGCTCCCTCCAGTAGCGGGTAAAGCGGCATGAGAAGCTGCCAGCACTCTGACACACCCCTGCCCCCTCCCAGTCCCCGGCCGGCGTGCACAGCCGGCCGTCCCTGTGGGGAGGCCGCAGGGACCCCGAGAGCTTGGGCCCGCCGGCCAGCCTCCCAGGCTTCAGAAAGAGGCGCCACGCCAGCTCAGAGGCCGGGCCGGGGCCAGGCACTGGTGAATCAACTCCGGGAATGAGGTGGCTCATTAAAGTCCCCCGGACAGACGGACGCCAGTGCCAGCAGAACGGGTTCTGGGCGGCGGGCAGGCGCGTTCTTCCCTCGTCAGACCTTTGTTGTGTTTTGAGGGGGCGAGAGCCAGGGCCTCTCCCGAAACTTCTTCAGTGCTTTCATATTCACCCTTCCTCCATCAGTAGTCCTCGGCCTTCCCTGTCTTCTGCCTCCGGCCCCCCTGCCCTGGGGCCGCCCCTCCCTGGGTCCCCGGCCTCTGTGTCTCAGCAGCCGTGGGGCAAGGGGTGCACCGGGCCTTGTCCGCGGGTCCGAGACCTTTACTCGGCCTCCCAGCTCTGTCTCCCGGAAGCAACTCATCCTTCCCTTCCCCTGCCCCTCTTGATTCTTCCTTTTGAAGCTTGGAAAATGCTCGTAGCTTATGGGGTTTAAGTACAGCGGACCCTTGCCCAACAGGATGGGTTTGAGCTGGGCACCGGGCCACTCAGACACGTGGTTCTTCCCATAAATACAGCACAGTGCTGTAAATGTATTTTTTCTTTCTTAGGATTTCCTTCATAACGTTTTTTTCCTCTAGCTTACTTTATTGTTATAATACACAGAATGTACAAAATACGTGTTACTCGACTGTTTCTGTTCTTGGTAAGCTTCCAGGCAACAGGAGGCTCTGGGCAGTCAAGTTTTGGCAGAGCCAAAAGTTATATTTGGATTTTTGACTGTGGGAGTGGGGAGTCAGCACCCCTAACCCCTGCCTTGTTAAAGGGTCCACTGTATAGAGTTTAGCCTTTTGGGGAAGAAAACTACTGATAAATTAAAACATTAGCTAGTTTGCTCCGCTTTGCTCAGCTTTGAGACCCGTCCCCTCCGTGTCACTGTCACTCAGACAACTCTTCCTCTTCTCTGCTCCGCAACGGGGTTTAGTGTGAGGTGTGTGTCGTGGGGAGTGGCCGCTGCAAAGGGCTGCCAGGTATCGGTGCCTTGGAGGGCGGAGGTTGGGAGCCCAGCCCTCACTGTGCCGCAGCAAGCGGTCCCTGCCGTGGGGGCGGGTTGCATAATAGCTGGGCACGACGCCCGGGAGACTGTTAGGCCGCATCCACCTGCTGCTCCCTGACCTCCTCCCTGCTCCACCTCACCTGGCCTGTTTGCCTGCCAAGCTTGGCCAGTGGGAGTGGGGAGCCTAGAACCCTGAGGAGCTGCAACAGCAGACACCAGCCAGCCTGGAGGACCACCCGGTCCCCCCAAGGCCAGCAGCTAAATTGGCCTGAAGAAGCAGCCCAGAGTGGTCCAGGCCCCTGGGGGGGGGGGGGGCCCGTCAGGGCCAGGGATGAATCCCTGGGCCCAGGGCCTCTGGTGGTGCCCCTTGTCCACGCAGGAGCATGGATGAGACCTGGAATCCAGAGGGACTGGCCCAGGTGGGGCAGGCAGACAACTCGGGAGGGATAATTGGCAGGGCAGGTTCGGTCCTCCCAGTTCCGCTAAGACACAAATTACTCAGCGGGCAGGCCTGTGGGCTGTGGTGCTTGGCGGGCGTCCCCTGTAATTACCTTAATGGGGCAGGAGGGAGGGGCACCATGTATGGGCTGGGGGCAGCTTGCTCTGCCATGTGCCTGCAAGGGGCAGGCGGAGGCTCCTGGGCCCAGCCAGCCCACTGCCAGGCAACTGTCCTGAGACCCCAATGAATCCTGTTCTCCCCACCAAACCCATCAGCTGGCTGTTCTTCTCTCTGCAGTCAGTCTGGGCTTCTGCCCACCACAGCCCTACCGGGAACCAGAGCCGTCAGTGGCTGAACCCCCATCTTGCCCCCTGGTTTTGGACATGAGCCTTCGGGACTCCAGCTATAGTGTGGCCCCTGGACCCTGCGTGGTAGCCCAGCTGCCCTCCGAAGACATGAGTCGTTTGGCAGACCCCCAGAGCAGAGACCACGGCTTCCTGCGCACCAAGATGAAGGTACTGCCCCTCACACTGTCACCAAGGATCAGGAGCGTGTCTATAGACCTGTGTCCAGCCCACAAGACCGGGTACGATGAGACCCAGACAGAGGCTGGCCTTGGATCTGGGTCCAGGTTTCTGCCAAGAAAGGGCATGGGGGGTGGGGGAAGAAGAGAAGCGGGTCTAAAGCAGCAGTGTCATGCATTGGGAAGAAGCGGCAGGGTTCTAGAGACATTTCATTCACCCTTTGGAGTCCAGTCCAGGAGTTATTTCGGTTTGTTTTTGTCCTTAAGGGGAGGTACCTCTTTGCTAGTCCTAGGAAAAGCGGGAGACATGAGCCCGGCTCAACCCCTTCTCCTGGCTTCCCCTCCATGCCGCGTCCAGAGTGAGCTCTGGAGTCCACTTGGTGGTTAGCTGTCCCTTGAGGCACGTGCCCGGTGGTCTTCACCTCACGTGAGTGTGCCGCTTCCGGCCCCGTCGGCATCTGAGGCCCTGCATCTAGGGCAAGGTCGGGGGGGAGCAGCCCTCTGTGCTCGGCCTCAGCAGTGGGAATAGTAAGGAGGGCGTGGGGCAACAGAGATGCTCCTGCTTTCGAGGAGTGCGCAGACAGCAAGGCTGTCCCTGGCCGGGCCTGCATTCCTGAAAGGTCTAGGATCTGGAAGCACCTGCCAGCACCGATCTAGTGGAAGGATTCTTGTAGCTCTATTCTGTGTGCCAAAGCACTGAAGAAAGCTGGCAGCAGAATGCCCTTCCTTCCCCTCTTTCCTGTGTAGGCCAAGCGTGTGTTGTAACTAGAGGGGAACCACCCAGACACGTGCTGGTCGGTTGACCGGGGAACCAGCACAGTGGCCCCGAGCCCCTGTGGGCCTTCCTCTCATCCCTTGGACCCTGGTCGGTAGGGAGGGCGTGCAGAGAGGCCAGAGGGCACGGGATGGCAGATGCGCCCGAGGAGTGGGTCCTGACCCAAAAGGTCTTGACTAGCCTGCAACAAGGGGCCTTTCCCTGGGGCCAGAAGCAGTAGGGGAGGAGTGTGATGTGATGGGGTGACAGGAGGAGGTGGCGGCAACAGGGCCACCCGCAGCACAGGCAGCCTCTGGACACTAATGGCCGTGGAGGATCGAGACCATGTCTGTCTGTGCCGGCCACAGGGCCGGAAAGGTACTGCCGTCACTCGGAGCAGCATCCTTCCCGAGGGGCAGGGCGTGGCCAGGATTTGCTTCCAAATGATCCAGGGCCAGGGGGAGGTTGGGAGGTAAAGATAAAACAAGACCGGCCCTAAATGACAGTCACCCTACTCATGGTACTCATCTCCACATCTGAAAAGATTTGAGCCTTTCCGTAGTTACAAAAGAAATGAGGCAGGTTTATAAGCAAGAGGGTTGTGAGGATGGCAAGGGGCCTCCCCTCATACTGCATCAGGCCTGGCTCCAGCAAAAGCAAGGGGCTGGGCTCCAGGCTCCGAGCCGTGGCCTCGGGGGGCCATGGCCATGACAGAGGCCATATCCTGGTCGTGCCCCTGTCCTCCCTCAGAGAAGGCCGACAGAGGCCCAGGTGCAGGGCAGCAGCTTTGAGCCCCTGGAAGGGAGGCCTTCCTAACAGGTGATGGTGACCTCAGCTGTTTCTACAGGTAGTTCATTGCATATTTCTAGAGGTGTAAAGGGGTGGGTGGCAGGGGATTCGGGAACCCAACAGCAGGCCTGACCACCGACCCAAAGGTTCCTTCCAGCCCCACCAGCACTGATCTGTGAGCCAGGGGCGCGGAGGTGCGGCCTCTGGAGGGCGAGCTCGGCTTTCCGTGGGCGGCTGGGGGCCCGTGTTTGCATCCTCCCAGCATGCCCACCTGCAGCCCCTGCTCCCGGACGGCTGGCACAGACACCATCCTCGCCCACAGGTGACCCTCGGGGACAGTCCCAGTGGAGACCTCTTCACTTGCCATATCTGCCAGAAGGCCTTCACCTACCAGCGCATGCTGAACCGCCACATGAAGTGTCACAACGACGTCAAGAGGCACCTCTGCACCTACTGTGGGAAGGGCTTCAATGACACATTCGACCTGAAGAGACATGTCCGCACCCACACTGGTAAGAGGAGCCCCTTGGGGGAGGCAGTGAGCTCCTCCTCCAGCCCCTACCCGGTGGGGCAGAAGCCCCCCTTGGCTAATCGGTTTGGTCCCTCAGGGAGCTGGAGACGGGACAGGCCTCCTTGGTTCCTCTCCCCCAGAGTCAGGTGGCCTGGCCTCGCTGTGGTGGGGGAGCTGCTCCTGGGGCTCCTGTTGCTCCCTGACACCCCGCACTCTCCTCCCTGCAGGCGTGCGGCCCTACAAGTGCAGCCTGTGTGACAAGGCCTTCACGCAGCGCTGCTCCCTGGAGTCTCATCTCAAGAAGATCCACGGCGTGCAGCAGAAGTACGCGTACAAGGAGCGGCGGGCCAAGCTGTACGTGTGTGAGGAGTGTGGCTGCACGTCTGAGAGCCAGGAGGGCCATGTCCTGCACCTGAAGGAACACCACCCCGACAGCCCGCTGCTGCGCAAGACCTCCAAGAAGGTGGCTGTGGCCCTGCAGAATACTGTCACCTCCCTGCTACAGAGCAACCACCACCTCTGAGTGGCACCGCCCGGCCCGGGTCGCCTGCCCACTGCCCGGCCAGTCCACCCTCCCGCTGCCTCTCGCAGGCCACGGGGACCAGGCCTGGAGGCCCCCACCCACTCCCCCCCCCCGGGCACATGTGCCGGCTGCACTGAGGCCCTGCACTGAGCTCTGCTCACGTTTGCGTTTTTTTGTCTGATGGGCAGAGGCCGCTCCGAGCCCCGGGCCGACATGGGTGAGGCCCACCTTTAGAGAGAGGACTTCCTTCCCAGAGGAGGGACCTGAGGGTGCTCGGCGGCCTTCCTCCTCTGGAGCACCGGGGCGGGGACCGCCGGTCCACCGTGGACAGCAGAGGAAAGAGCATGGGCAGAGAGCAGCCGGGCAAACCCAAGGTGCTGCTGGGGGAGCTGGTGCCTACCTGCCCCGCAGTGCATCCAGCGCTCAGGGCCGTGGGGGGCTCGGCCCTTCCCACAGGGAGATGCATACACGTGCTCAGCCGTGGACCCGTGTGCTCACACAGGAGGCCTTTCCACACATCACCTCATTTTTAGGAAATCGACGACAAGGTGCCAAGGAAGTTTTATTTCCTTTTTTTAAAGATGACACATGTACAGATATATTAATATATATATAAAATAGCCGATGGCGGCTATTTTTAAGAGAGGATGGAGCTGGCTTTGTTCCCTCTCTATGCAGTTCTATTTATCCTGGACATTTCATACCTCCTCTGTGCCTTGGCTCTGGGGGTGCTGCCCTCAGCCACCCCCACCCCTTGCACCTAACACCTTCCTCCAGCCCTGCCTGGGGGCTGCCGGTCTGCTGGGGTAGCTTGGGCTGCACTGGCTCCTCCCCTCCCCCCACCCCCGGGGACTCTGCCTCCCTCCCAAATCCTTTCAGGGCATGCCTGGGGGTTACTGAGAGCCTGCTTGCCTCCCAATAACAGACCTTTTGTGGAACAACTCACCAGTGTGGAGACCAAGAGTTTGTCCAGCTGCGGCTGTAGGAGAAAGGCCGGTGGGGTGATGAGTCTTTGGTGCACCCAGAGTCCACCATCGAGACTGAGAAGAGAATGGGACCAGACTGCAAGCCCTGCCCTTTGTCTGGTTGAGTGCAAAACCCTAGGGCAGCAGCAAAAAATTGGGACAGAATAATAACCAGACCCATCAGAGGCCTCTCAGGAGGGCAGTATTGGAGGGCTAGCAAGTTCTATTTGTAGCCTATTTTCTGACTCTTTCACACGACTAGGCTGGGTTGTGAGCATGTAAGGAGCGAGCCATCCCGGGGCTGGTTGGCTCCATCGGAGGAAATCGGCCACCAGGCTCTATTGGTGTGGCTGTGTTTCCTGCTAAAAACAGGAAAAAGGGTGTGGGTCAAAAGGGAGAGAGGGGCAGGGTTGGAGCCAGCCTGCCAAAGAATGAGAAGGCAAACTCGAAAGAGGTCCAAAGAATGCAGTGGGCTGGGTGGCGCAGCGAAGCCGAGCCCCTGAGCAGAACCAGCCCCAGACCGCGGGGAAGGCGCTTTCTCGGGCCACCTTCTGACTGTGTATAGATTGTTCTGGAAGACTCCTGTTTTATTTTACTTTAGAGTGTCTGGGAGCTGCTGTATTCTGGAAGTTATATAGTATAAACCTTATCTGGAAGCTCTGTTTCGTTTACATTTCTGTATCCCTGTGTTATTGCAATTGGAGGGAGTCCTAATGCTCTGTGTTGCCTGTTTTATTTTATAACTTTCCCCCCAACTATTAAAATCAAAGAATTGTCGTTTTCTGCGTTTCTGCTTTTTTGTCTTATAGACCTCTCTTTCCACCTGCAGGGAAATTAATCAAAACAGTGGTTGCATTCTAGTCAAAGCTTTCCCCTTTTACGGTTACCACTGAGCCTCCAGTCAAGCCAAGTATCTGGCCTGCACAGCCGGAGCAGCCTGCCCGTGGTCGCGGCACTGAGTGCCTGCCAACCGACCCCTGGGTCGCTTGCTTCACCTGCCCGGCACTCCCGCATCCTGACGGGGCCCTCCACCAGGCCAGTGTGGTTGCTCGGGGTCCAGTTTCCCAGTTTCCGCTTCTCTTCCTAGCACCTGCCAGGACCGCAGAAGGAAGACGGTGATCCCAAGTGACAGGGCACAAAGGTCATATCACTTCCGGGTCAGGCACCTAGCTATAGGGCTGGCCACATTTGCATAGCCCACGTTCAGTGCCGGGCACACTTGTGTTTCACCCACATTAGCTCACTGCCATCACCGCGGGCAGAGAGAAGTTGGGTAGTGGGCCAGTCTCCTGACCGACTAAGGTGGAGCTGGGGTGCCAACCAGACTGCCTGGCAGGGGCTGTGCTCGAAGCACCACGCACCCTGCTTCTACAGAGACCAGCACACAGTGTGCACTGCCCCTCCGGGCAATTCAAACCAGATGGGGACTTACAGACTAACTGGCCTTTCCCATCACCTACCTAGGATCCCTTGCAGAGACCTATCACTCTGGGGACCCAGTTCCATGTTCTTCCATCATGTCCCCCCTGCTAGATGGACACCAAGGGGCGGGGGTGGCTCCCAGGCTTGGGCCTTAGATGTGATGTTCCAGGAGGTGTGAAAAGGGTTCGTGCCCTGGTGCTGTGAAGAGAAAGGAAAACACAGGTCTGCAGATAAGGCTTCCCGTGAGAAGCCCAGAGGATTGGCAGGGGCCCCTAACCCTCCCTATGTCTCTTTAAGTAGCCAGAGGATTTTTATCTCGAGAAGCCTCCCAGTGTGAAAGACCAACCAAATCCCATTTTTACCTGTCCCAAGATGAGCAGAACCCATTGTTGGGAACCCAGATGATTAACTGCTGCGTCAACTTTAGGAGGAGCCGGGGATAAGCTTCTAGGAAGCTAGGGGTGGGGGTGGGCAATGTTCCCGGGGCTCCCGGTGAGCTTCTACTTTCTCTCCCACTCCTTAGAAGAACTCCAGTGTAGGACACCTCTCCGAGGAGCCCTTCCCTAGCAGCATCAGGTCAGACAGCCCCATTTCAAGGGACCGTAATAACCCGCAGACACTGTAGCATGGGTGCCATGAGAGAAAAAGGAAAAGTACGGGGCCTCTGCTGACTGGGAAATGGGCCCCAGCCAGGCAGGAAAAAGAGAGGAATGGGGGTCAACATACAACCAAGGACACATGTGTGTCGCCAGACTACAAATGCTGAAGGAGTCTTTTGCATCTGAAAGAGTAAAGACTTCTTGAAAGACGTGGAGCCCCAGCTAGGCTGGGAAAACAGGGCATCTGAATAGAACCTAGGAAGTTGGGGGTGGAATGGGATCAAGCCCAGAAGGGAAGAGGTGTGGGCAGAGGGTCTCACTATTTCCATCAGCAATCTGGATGTTTGCTTCGTTCATTCAGCACGCCAGAGGCATTTTTGGAACCCCGCCCAGGTGCCAGTCAGAGCTGATAAGACAAGATTCTGACAGGAGAGCCGGCTGGGGCCCAGCAAGATGGCCTTACGGAGGATGAAAGCAGAGTCCTATTTTTATAGCCAAAAACAAAGCAAACAAATGTGGGGTGGGAGCACTTCACAACAGGAAGCGCTACGAAGGTTTATACCTTATATTTTTATGTATTTTCTAATTCTTTTTTACAATAAGCATATATTATTTTTACAACCAGAAGAAAATAAAGTTGTAAAACAATTTAGGGGGTTTAGCTGACACAAAATTCAACACACTAGCCCCCCCCCTCAAAAGCCAGCGGGATCTCGGACAACATCAGGAGCGTGGCGTCAACAACCCTGCACTCTGGGCGGGTCCCCAGTCAGTGGGTCTGAGGCCCAGCCCTGTCTCGTGCTGTCTGTGTGGCCTTGCGCAAGTGACCTAACCTCCCAGTCTCCTCATCTATAAATGAGGTGGGTTCCTGAGTTCGAAAGTCCCTTTCTGATATAAAGACTTTATGTCTCTAGGCCCCCATCTTGATAAAAGCTTTGAAGAAGCTCACTGACAACTTGGAGTGGAGATGAGGAGACGCCGGAGGCTGAGAAGTTGCTCGGTGAGTGGCAAAGACCAACTGCCACGGTGGCTGGCTTGAAGCAGGGGGAAAGGCTTATCCCAGGTGGTTCCAGCTGTAGAGCCTGGGCCGAGAGGTGAGGATTAGACGGCGGCGGGGGGAGTGGGGGGGCAGCCCCCACTGCAGGAAGGAGAAGCCTTCCAAGCCCCAGCATGGCTTCTCCAGGGGGGTGCTGGAGGGGGGGGGGGGGGGGGAGGAGGGCAGCCCTGGGCACTGTCACCCGAGCGCTGGGGCTTGGAAGCCATCCGTTAGTGACTTCTAACAGGACTCTGTCATGGGACTGAAGGCTGGACAAAACAATCTTCAAGACTCTTTCTACCCTCGAAATTCTAAAAGGCCAGGCCAAAGTACAGTGGTCATGACTTCGCGGCCTGTTTACCATTCCCAAGAAGGCAGAGCCAGGGTGAAATGCTAGTGAACAGAATGGAATGGGAAAGACAACACTGGGAAGAGAGCAGCCGGGGGGCCTGTCTCGTACGCTGGGCTTGAGGTGACGGAGACCTGGACTGACGAGGGGACGCAGACCTCTTCTCACTGCCTCTGGTCCCGGCCCATCCCCGAGGGCCGCCCAGAACCAGGCCCCTCCCTCAGGAGATGGCAGCCACCTGACCCAGGGTGTCCCACCTTCTTCGTGTCCAAGACCAGCGTGCCCTCCTCCATTCCTCACGCCAGCCGCCTTCCCGAGTTTCTAGAGTCTGTTTTGACATTGCACCCCCCATCACCCAGCCTCGCACCTTCCAGTTCTACTTTGGTTCCTGTAGCCAATCAGTCAACTCCCCTCGAGGCTCCGTCTGAGACTGCTCCTCTTGCTGGGCAGCTCTCCCCCTGGGTGGCAGGCTCGCCGGCCCGTGGGGCTCAGGCCATGCGCCGCCGCGGGGCCAGCGCTGGAGGGGCGGTCGTCAGACATGCGGATTCTGGTCCTGGGACGGGGCGGTGCGTTGCGAGTTAGATCTTCCAAGTTCTGTTTCCTGAATGTAAGAGCTGGGTATCAAGTGACCGATTTCCTCTGTTCCTCCCTATTCTCTCCACATAAACTGGGTGAGGACTTCTGCCCTAATGAATCTTTCAGAGTAGAGTACAACACAAATCAGGTGTCTCACAAGGCGCTGGGAGGAGAGGGGTGGACAGCCAGCTACCCTGTGTAACCTGCCTCGATCGCAACCGGGGGCCCCACCGGCCCTTAGACTTCTCCTCCGACTTCAGGCTCAAGGGGCTGCCATCCCCACCCCCACGGAGAAGGAACCCGGGCAAGTGAGTGCCACAGGGTGGGCCGCTCTGTGTCCGGCTGCCAGGCCACACGGCCCATTGGCATCAGCAGTAGCCATCTCATTCCTGAGAGCAGAAGGACCCAGAGAGTCCCCTGGGACACCGGTGTCACTCACTGCTAACCCCAGAACTCCTGGAACGAGCGTTTGCCTCAGGAGGACACGTCAGCAGTCCTGTAATGGCAGCTAATCACCGCTTCCACTCGCTGAGCTCCTACTACGCGCCAGGCAGCATCCAGCTTCGCTTCCCTCTGACATCATCACTAATCCCCACAACGACCCTAGGAGGTAGCTATTACTGTTCTATTTTTAGACAAAGAAATTGAGGCTCAGGGAGATTAAATATCTTGCTCAAGGTCACATGGATAGCGAGCGATGAGGCCAGGCTCCAGCCTGAGGTTTGCTGGACTCTCTCAAGTTGGGGCTCTTTGCTGTCTCTCCGATTCTCAATGATTATGAAATGGGAGATCTTTTCCTTTCAGTTCTTTACTTGTTCTCTGGACCCTGAGAACCTACTGTGTCAAGCAAGCACTGTGCTGGCGCATTGGCTTTGCAAAGATGAATAAGGCATGGGGCCCGGGCTCCAGAGGTCACCTTCTGCTGGGGGAAACGGAGGTGGCCCAGTCCTGCAGGGGGTGGGACAGGTGCATGAGCGGGCGAGCACTGAGGACAGCAGGAAAGGGGCCGGGCTGCCCAGGGCCCCACCCTCAGAGATCTCTGAAGCTCCCCAGTGTCACCCACATCAGTAGGGTTGAGAAAAGGAAAGGAGGGAGAAAACCCAACATGGTTGAGCACCCACCTCCCATCCATCTGGTGTACTATGCACCAGCCCCAAGGTCGGCGCTGTTGCTGTCTGTCCAGACGAGGAAAGCGAAGCCTAAAGAGGTCACGTGCTGTCAAGGTCACCACGGCCACCTGGCACCTGGCTGGAACCCCCAGCCTCTCACTGTCGAGCATCGCACTGTCTTCCCAGAAAGTATGTGGAAATAGAAAAAGAGGGAGTTCTCAGCCTGACTGCAGGGAAAAAGCCAAAGTCCTCTGCAGAGACCACAGGGACCCAGAGTGTGAGAACCTAACCCCCACCACAGAAATGCCAGGTGTCTTGTTCCTGTTAAAGTCACAGCCACGGGGCGCCTGGGTGGCTCAGCTGGTTAAGCGACTGCCTTCGGCTCAGGTCATGATCCTGGAGTCCCGGGATCGAGTCCCGGGATCGAGTCCCGCATCGGGCTCCCTGCTCAGCAGGGAGTCTGCTTCTCCCTCTGACCCTCTTCCTTCTCGTGCTTTCTATCTCTCATTCTCTCTCTCTCTCAAATAAATAAATAAAATCTTTAAAAAAAATAAAAAATAAATAAAAAAGTCACAGCCACGGCCATCTTGCAAATATGCCAAACCCGGAGAAAGGGCCGGAGGGGAGACACTTAGGGAAGTGAGAGCGGGTCAGGGCGCTCCAAACCTACAGGAGCTCCGAAGTGAACTCCCAACATCCACCCCCACGTGTACCCTGACCTCCTCCCCTACAGTCCCAGTTTTCCAAGGCGGTGATCTTGGCGGGGAAGGCACTGATCCTGTCCTCAGCACCTCGGCTTGTCCTGTCCAGCTGGCTCCTGCCCAGCCCCCTCTGGCCTCCCCGCCTCTGGGGGGGGGGGGCGGGACTCCAGGTAACAGGCCTGGGCACTGCCTCCTCCCCGGCCCAGGGTGAGTTGCTGAAGGACACCAGGAGAACTGGTAGGACTTGTGTCCCTTCTGCCAGAGGCACAAACAAACCTGCCAGTGGTAGTTACAGGGCAAAGGAGCGGACTGCCTGAGACTCAGGAGGGCCGCAGGCTTGCTGCCAGCCACCTCTGCCACTAGGTCCTTGCTCAGAAGCAAGAGGGGCCCTTGGAGAGTGGGGCTGTCTCCATTCCTGCCACAAGACACCTAATACTTCCTCCTCCACAAGACGATTCTCTTCTAATACTAACACCCCGCATTCTCTTTCAGCATTTTCCCAGCGGTTCTGAGAGGCTCACGTCAGGGTTTTCTGAAGCATTATGCAGGAGCCTCCAGGGGTCCACCATCACCACCCTCCCTGCTCCCAGCCAGAGGCCGGTGTGAGGGAAGGAGGCGGTAAGGAACTGGAGGTCAGGGCAGAAGGGATGGGAGCCATCCTTACCGGCCTCAGTGCCTAGGTGGGGAGGAATGGCATTCCCTAAGGAGGCCAGAGTGCTCGTGGGGGTGACCACAGGAGGAGGAGCCCTTCACAAGTTTACTTTGTTTGGGGGGAACTTGTTACAGAAAAAGTAGAGGAAAAAAAGCAAAGCATCCATGGTCTGGTTGGGAGAGTGGGGGAAATAAGTATGTACCCAAATTCAAAATGGTGCATTGAAATGCGATGTAAATGAGTTTTTAGCAGATACAATTTCAGTCTCAATATAAAGAGTTCTTACATATCAATAAAAAAAAAAGAAAATACACACCATTGAAAGCTATAAATAGTATGGATGGGCTGTTCATGAACGAGCTTTAAATGATAAAAATCATATGAAAAAATTCAGCTTCATTCAAAATTAAAGAAATGAAAATTAAAATCAGATACAGAACTCTATCATAAAACTGGTCATAATAATGAAAAAATAGGAACAATCTAAATATTTAACTCTAGAGTACCATTAAGAATTATAATGAAATACTATGTATTCAATAAATATGATGTTATAAACATATTTACTAACGGGAAAATGTTTGCAATATAGTAAGTTTAAAGAGCAGATTCCAAAACAGTGTTATGGGTAGGCCCATTTTACATTTTGGTAATCACAAGTAAGTCCACGTGTACATCATAAAAATTACAGAAGACTAAACACAGCGTTTATAGTACTGAGTTATGACTCAATGGTGGAATTATGGTTTTATTGTCTTGTTTGTTTGTCTATATTTTGTACTTTTCCTACAATGATCCCATTTTGACTTTGCAATGAAAACTTTCGGGGGGGCTTCGAAAGAGTGTTTGGCAGAGGAAACGTATGAAGGAGGCTGATGTCGGAGGTCACCTGGGGTGCAGAACTAGGGGTCAGAAAAGAGATCCAGGAATCACAACTGTGCTCTTTGAGATCTCTAGGGGACCCATGACCTTGTACAGAAAGCCCAGAGGATTTGCAGTCAGAGGATGAGTGCATCTTAGTCTACCAGTTGACCCTGAGGAAGACACTGTATCTTTCTGAAACTCAATGTCTGTAAAGTGGAAGTAACAGTAACAGAGGATTATTGTGAGGATTAAATAAGATAATTATTTGCTTTGTGAGGTATAAATCCCTAAACAAATGTGAGATGTTGTCGTTAATAACATTCATCTCTGGCTCAGCCTTAGCAGGAAAGCAGGCCAAGTGTAAACTGGTCAAGTTCGCGCTGGCTGCTGAGAATGCTGGATACGCTGGAGGTGAAATGCAATATTCCCATGTGGCTCAGGCAAACTGATGTCCTGGTCATAGAATATAAAAAGCAAAAGAAAGTAAACTTACTCTGAGCTCAGAGGAAGGTGCTTGGAGACCTTCTGACTGCCCTCTAAGGAAAGAATACATAGCCTGTGATGAGAAATCCCTGGTTAGTCATGTGCTGGGCACCAGGAAAGAAGAGAAACGGCCCAAAGCACAGAGGTAGGTCTGTGACTGCCTTTACCTACACTTGTTTACTGATGTTTTGGCAAGATGCTTGGGGGCTGAGTTGGGTGGACCAAGGATGCCACAGCTTGTCATCTAAGGAGACTGGGAGAGGCTGGGTGGTGGTTCTGGTTAGATGGGTCCGCACCCTGCACGAGACAAGGGAAGTCACGGCTTCTGGGTGGAGGTAGTAGGCACGCTCATGAATCATAAACCCCTCTCATTCATAACTGGTTAGCTGGTTCTGACAGGGCCACGCACGGTTTTTACACAGTATGGTGCCAAGCATACACCCTCAAAGAGCACCACTTTCTTCATCCCACTAGATGAAAGGGATTTATTGACCAGATGACAAGCTTTCTGGGTACCGACCATGTTTGGAGACTCCATTTTGACCACGCCACTCCAAAGGCCTTCAGATGAGGAGCATGATCTTCACTCTCCTTTTCTTTCTTTTTCGCTCCTTCTAGGATGCCCCTCCCACCTTTCCTTCTGTTTGCCTCTTTTTCTTCTTCCGAGTTGGTTTCATTGCTCTTCCTCTCCTTGTTCCTCAGGTTTCCTTCTCCTTCTTCTCGCAACCCCCTTGTGTGGTTCTGGATCCAGGCAGCATCTTCCTCTGCGTTCTTCATGTCAGAGGCACCCGCTACTCGGAGCCACTCGATGCTGGGGTGTCCTGAGCTAGAGCCCACCTGTCCGCAATGTGAGGCTGCCCCTCCTGCAGGGGTCGCTGAAGCTTTGGGTTCGTGAGCTTCTTTACTCCTTGCTTCACCTAGTCCCCTCCTCAATTATCCAACAAGCCTCTTCAGATCTTTCTGTAACTAAGTTTTCCTCCTAATCCTGCTGCCAACCCTGCCCCCCTGCCCCCCAGCCCCCCAGCCCCCCAGCCCCCTCTCTCTTCTGCGGGGCCTCTGATCTATCTGGACCTTGCTGGTGCTGACATGTCCTAGACTGAAAGCCTGGTCCAGGTGTGGTTTCGCCTCCTTATCGGTGGGGGGAAGAGGCAAGGACAGCCGTGTGCTCCTGTCGGCTGCCCCCCTCCACTCTAGGCTTTTCTAGGCTCTTCTGTTTATCTGCACGATCTAGCCGAGAGCCAGCATGGGAGTGTTTTCTGTCTCTTTTATTCCTTAGAACCTCACCCCACTGTATTTTTTCCAATCAAAATCTCATTGCGAAATCTCCTACCCAAAGGGTTTCCCAATGCCTCCCAGTTTTGAATCAACCTGTTGTTTACAGCACACCCAGATCAGGAATTGAGATGTCAGGGGGCACCAGATCTGATACTACGCCCTGAAGACACTTGTGTGCCCGAATCAGTCATTGGACTGGTGGCACCTGGACAAACAAAACTATTTCCTCCTTATTTCCCAAGAAGGAAGAAACCAAGTAGGCTTCAAGCTGAGAATAAGGACTGGCCATAAGACAAATACCAACCTGGCCATATTCCTCCCCTGGGGAGGTGTCTGAGAAAGGGCTCTCACTGCAAGTCCAGCCTGAACCAGGGAGATCCTCTCTAAGCACCCGCAGAATTCTCTGCCCCTCAAAGTGCCCAGTCCCTCCCAGAGGGCCATTTCATAAGAATATGCATCCTACTTCCCCACCTGTGACTAACGGGGTAGATTTCTGGTCCTAGAGATCCTGAGTCAGGAGCAGCCGCTAGAACAAACACAGAGAAGTGGGTCAGTGTGTTTTTTTGTTTTGTTTTGTTTTGTTTTGTTTCGTTTTGTTTTGTTTTGTTTTAACAAGTGAAGCGGGTTGTTCCCTGCATACAAAGGTGACCCACCACCCGCCTTGGTAACCTGACAGCTCTCTGTCACCAGCAAGGAGGGTCTACCTGTGGTCCTTCTTATTCTCCAGAAGAAGCTGAAGGATCAGTTTGGGGTTGAAAGGGCAACCTGGATCTCTGCATCAGGTTCTAGCCAACAAAGACATTTCACCCTGACTTTTATTTTAAAAATCTATCCAAAGCCCCAATTCTTTTTTTTTAAAGAATATATTTATTTATTTTAGAGAGAAAGAGCACGAGGGGAGGGGGAGGGGCAGAGGGAGAGGAAGGGAAGCAGACTCCCTGCTGAACATGTAGCCTGACCCAGGACTTGATCTCAAGACCCTGAGATCACGACATGAGCCAAACCCAAGAGTCCAACACTCAACCGACTGAGCCACCTGGGCGCCCCTCAAAGCCCCAGTTCTGCATCTAATCACCAGAGAGTCAATCCCTTCATCTAAATGAACAGAGCGCCATACGGACATCAAGCCAGCCTCTGGAGGTTCGTGTCACCCTCTCTTTGAGGTGAATGCTGCAGACAGGACCTAAATCTTTCTGCTCCTAT